GTAGTCCTAGCTACCCAGGAGGCTGAGGTGGGAGGATCACTTGAGCCCAGGAGGTTAAGGCTGCAGTGAGCTGTGATCACATACTACAGCCTGGGTGACAGGGCAAGACCCTGTCTCAAAAAAAAACCAAAAGAAAGGTGGGGGGGCTCTGAACCCAGGCACTGACTTTCCCCTCTAGCTAGCAAAGAGGTAGATGGATGGCATTTTCCCAATAGAAGGGTGTCTTGTCTACATTTAAAATCTGTGGTTTAGGCCAGGCACAGTGGCTCATGCCTGTAATCCCAGCACTTTGAGAGGCCGAGGCAGGCAGATCACTTGAGGTCAGGAGTGTGAGACAAGACTGGCCAACATGGTGAAAACCCATGGTGAGGCTCTGTCTCCAAAAAATAATAATAAATAAAAATAAAAGAAAACAAAATCTGTTGTTTAGGCCGGGCACAGTGACACACCCGTGAACCCAGCACTCTGGGATGTCAAGGTGGGAGGATCACTTGAGCCCAGGAATTCAAGACCAGCCTAAGCAACGTGACAAAACCTACAAAAAATCTCCGCAAAAAATACAATAATTAGTCGGGTGTGGTGGTGGCACCTGTAGTTCCAGTTACTTGGGAGGCTAAGGTGGGAGGATCACCTGAGCCTGGGAAGGTCAAGGTTGTAGTGAGCCATGATTGTGCTACTGCATGAGGTAGCAGTAGCTACCTTTTTTTTCTTGAGACAAGGTGGCACCTTGTCTCAAAAAAAAATAAATGAATAAACAACTTTCTCCATATCAGCAATAAGGCTGTTTCAGTCTCTTATCATTCATGTGTTCACTAGAGTAGCACTTTTTATTTTTTTAAGATGCAGTCTCACTTCTGTCACCCAGGCTGGAGTGCAGTGGTGCAATCTCAGCTCACTGAAACCACCATTTCCTGGGTTCCTCCATCTCCCAAGCAACATGAAAAAAACCCAACTCTACAAAAAAAAAAAAAAACACATACAAAAATATACAAAAATGAGTCACACATGCTGGCAAGCACCTGTAATCCTAGCTACTCAGGAGGCTGAGGTGGGAGGATCACTTAAGTCCAGGAGGTTCACATTTACATTCACAACTTGGCTAGCTATATGGCACAAGAGGCCTAGCTTACAACCTATTTCGGCTTCCTTTGCCAAACTCAATCATTTCTAGCTTTGATTTGAAGTGAGAGATATGCAATTCTCCTTTTCACTTTAACATTTAGAAGGTGTTGTTAGGGTTACTAAGCTGCCTAATTTCAATATCATTGTGTCTCAGGCAATAGCAAAGCCTGAGGAGAGAGAGAGATGGAATGGCTGGTTGGTGAAGCAGTGACAATACACACAATAAGTTCGCTGTCTTACATGGGCTCCCTTCATGATGCCCCAAAACAATTACAATAGCAACATGAAAGACCCCTGTTGGTTGGGCGCGGTGTCTCACACCTGTAATCACAGCACTTTGGGAGGCTGAGGTGGGCAGATCACCTGAGGTTGGGAGTTCAAGACCAGCTTGACCAACTCTCCTAAAAATACAAAATTGGCGGCACATGCCTGTAGTCCCAGCTACTCGGGAGGCTGAGGCAGGAGAATTGCTTGAACCCAAGAGGCGGAGGTTGCCAACAGCCAAGATTGTGCCACTGCACTCCTGCCTAGGCAACAAGAGCAAAACTCCATCTCAAAAAAAAAAAAAAAGAGAAAAAAAGAAAGCTCCCTGATCACTGATCACCATAACAAATAATAATGAAAAACTCTGAAGTATTTTGAGAATTACCAAAATGTGATAACAGAGACATGAAGTGAGCACATGCTGTTGTAAAAATGGCACTGACAGATTTTCAAGGCAGGGCTGCCAAATACCTAGATAATTTGCTAAAAATGCACTACCTGCAACATAAAATAAAGCAAAGCACAACAAGCCAAAGTATACCTGAATTTAAAACCTTAAGAATTCTCCATTTCACAAAAATGAGAAACAGAACAAAATGTGAACATAATGAAATGATTCCTTAGGGCAACTTCGTGGCATAGTGCCACCATCTGACCTATTTCAGGAAACAAAGTAAATGATATTGTTTATATCATGACCTCTCCTAAAACAAGGTCTGAGCTGAAGCATTGCTCATTTTTAAAAATATCCAAGTTAGGCCAGGCACGGTGGCTCACACCAACACTCTGGGAAGCCAAGTGGCAGGATGGCTTGAGGCCAGGAGTTCAACCAGCCTGGGCAACATAGCAAGACCCTGTCTCTACCAAAAAACTTAAAAAACAGCTGAGAGTGATAGAACACTATAGTCTCAGCGACTAAGGAGGCTGAGGCAGGAAGATAGCTTGAGCCCAGGAGCTCAACGCCAGCCTAGGCAACATGGTAGAGATGGGGTTTCACCATGTTGGCCAGGCTGGTCTTGAACTCCTGACCTCAGGTGATCCACCTGCCTCGGCCTCCCAGAGTGCTGAGATTACAGGCAGAGACATCAGGCCTGGCACTGCCTTGATTTTTGACACCCATGATAGATCACCTCTATCATGACTATAAAGAGGTCAGAAGTCAAGCAGAAGAAAGCCTGGGAAAAGCTGACTCTGTCATCTCAGTGCATGTACAAGTGCAAGCAAAGCTCTAGTGTGTTACATGTCAGTTTTTCCACAGTTCTCACTGGGAGCTGACTACAGTCTACTCTGTCTACTGACCTTCAACCTCGCCTCACACTAGTTATATGATAAAAACAGCTATCACAGGAATTCCCGTTGAAAGTTCACAGGTTTACAATTTGTTCCACTGCAAAGGTAACAAAAAATTCTGGTTCTTAAATTTTAGATATAATTTCAAAATGACATCCTATTTCTTTCAATTCCATATACTAACTTAAAATGTGAAATAGCTAGCAGAACTAATTTGCAAAGAGAGATAGTTAAGATGTTAGAAGCATGCTCTTATGAGACGCAGTTAATTTAAGGAAATAAAAGTAGCTTAACTTCTCATTAAGGGTTTGCAAAGACTTCTGCTATAGATGCAAATTGAGGGTACTTGTTTCTATCTCCTCACACTAGGAAAGTTCACAATGTCCATGTTATAGATGCACATAGTATCAGGCCACTGCCCAGGTGAATGTTTAGCTGGAAAAGCAACATTTACTATACCTGAAAATAGCCCAGAGTTGTCTATTGGACCAGGAAATAGGTTATGTTCGCCCACGTTGTACATGTCCCAGCTGTCAAAGCCCACATATTTCTTCCACTGCTTGAACCACCGGCTGTCAATAAGATACCTAGAGAGAGAGACAAAAATTTACTGTAGCAGAAAAGCTGAGATTATAAATGTCTGCAGCTGCTTCCTTAATCTTTTTTATGGTCCTTCCACTTGAGGCATATGCAATCCCCACTAAAAAACACTGTCACAAGAGCAGGAGCAGGGCCTAGGCCCCACATGGCACAGAGAGTCTGGCCCCAGCGTATGCATCCATTAAGTGAAATGATTGTTCAAAGAGTGAATAAAAGAAAGAAAACAAGTGGCTTCAAAATGCTTATTTAAATGGAGTCTTTCTTTTTTTTTTTTTTGAGACCGATACTTTCTTTTTTTTTTTTGAGACCGAGTCTTATTCTGTCGCCCAGGCTGGAGTGCAGTGCCATGATCTTGGCTCACTGCAACCTCTGCCTCCTGGGTTCCAGTGATTCTCCTGCCTCAGCCTCCCAACTAACTGGGATTACAGGCACCCACCACCACGCCCAGCTAATTTTTGTATTTTTGGTAAAGATGGGGTTTCACCATATTGGGCAGGCTGGTCTCGAACTCCTGACCTCAGGTGATCCACCCACTTCGGCCTCCCAAAGTGCTGGGATTACAGTGCCTGGCCTTTTTTTTTGAGACAGAGTTTCTCTCCTGTCACCCACGCTGGAGTGCAACAGTGTGATCTCGGCTCTCCGCAACCTCCACTTCCCGGGTCCAAGCGACTCTCCTGCCTCAGCCTCCCATAGCTGGGATTACAGGTGTGTGCCACCACGCCCGGCTAATTTTGTATTTTTAGTAGAGACAGGGTTTCTCCGTGTTGGTCAGGATGGTCTCAAACTCCTGACCTCAGGTAATCTGCCCACCTCAGCCTCCCAAATTGCTGGGATTACAGGCGTGAGCCACCGCACCCTACCACAAGTCATTAATTTCATAATGATCTTTATAGAGGTCCCAGTCCAGGCAGACAGTTTGGTTACACTGTTTTACTTGACATGAACAGCACTAAACTAATGCTCTTTCTGAAAATGGGTTAGAAACACCATCCACTTCAGTTTTCTTTTAAGGACCAAATGAGTTCCAAAAATGTACACACAAGGCCAGGCACAGTGGCTCACACCTATAATCCCAACACTTTGGGGGGCTGAGGCGGATGGTCACTTGAGCTCAGGAGTTCAAGACCAGCCTGGGCAACAAACCCCATCTACTAAAAATACAAAAATTAGCTGAGTGTGGTGGCACATGCCTATAGTCCCAGCTGCTCGGGAGGCTGAGGCACAAGAATCACTTGAACCCGGGAGACAGAAGTTGCAATGAGCTGAGATCACGCCATTGCATTCTAGCCTGGGTGACAGGAATAAAAACCTGTCTCAAAAAAAAAAGTATATAACATGCGTGTACATATATAAATATACACATACACATGTACATATAATAGCATTTAGGTATGTTCATCTTGTCAAAAAGCATTAAGTTGTGCTTCATATTCAACTTACCACTTTTTTACTTAAATGTAAGCAAATGTGGTATTTTATTTATCTATTTATTTCCTTAGAGAGAGGGTCACCCAGGCTAGAGTGCAGTGGCACAATCATAGCTCTCTGTAGCCTCAAAATCCTGGGCTCAAGTGATCCTCCTGCCTCAGCCTCTGAGTAGCTATGACTATAGGTACATACCACCATGTCTGGCTAATTTAATTTTTTATTTTTATTTTGTAGAGGCTAGGTCTTGCTATGTTGCCCAGGCTGATCTTGAACTCCTGGCCTCAAGTGATCTTCCTGCTTCAGCCTCCCAAAGTGCTGGGATTACAGACATGAGACATTGTGCCAGACCTATTTATATTTTTAAAGTATCACTATGCTGGCTGGGAGAGGTGGCTCATGTCTGTAATCCCAGCACTTTGGGAGGCTGAGGCAGGTGGATCAAGACCATCCTGGTCAGGAGATCAAGACCATCCTGGCCAACATGGTGAAACCCCGTCTCTACTAAACACACAAAAATTAGCTGGGCGTGGTGGTGCGTGCCTATAATCTCAGTTACTAGGGAGGCTGAAGCAGGAGAATCGCTTGAACCCAGAAGGCAGAGATTGCAGTGAGCTGAGATCATGCCACTGCACTCCTCCAGCCTGGCAACACAGCGAGACTCCGTCTCAAAAAAAAAAAAAAAAAAAGTATCACTATGCTGTTTTACAATTAAAACAGAATCTCTGTGGAGCAACAAAGCATCAACAATTATATTGGTGCATCCTTAAAATTGTATAACCAACAAATGTGAGAGGAGTTCAGGCAACTTCCCAGAGGTCACAAGGATCCATAAACACATCCGTCTCGAAAATGCTATTTTTCTTCCAAATCCCTTGAGCAATACTTTCCATACAATTTTACTGTATGATTTTAGTCTTAAACTTCCTCTGCTTCTGCTGAGTATTCTTTATGAGCCCTATACAGGTTAACTTGAGAAGTACCTCTGCTAGGCCAGGCGTGGTAGCTCTCGCCTATAATCCCAGCACTTTGGGAGGCCAAGGCAGGTGAATCACTTGAGGTCAGGAGTTTGAGACAAGCCTGACCAAAACGGAGAAACCCTGTCTCTACTAAAAATACAAAAAAAAATTAGCCGGGCATAGTGGCGCATGCCTGTAATCCTAGCTACTGGGGAGGCTGAGGCAGGAGAATCACTTGAACCCTGGAGGCACAGGTTGCCGTGAGCCGAGATCACGCCATTGCACACCAGCCTGGGCAACAAGAGCGAAATTCCTCAAAAAAAAAAAAAAAAACCCCACAAAAAAAGTACCTGTTTACTCTGACTTTCACAAACTGGCTAGCTCAAGGTGAATACATAAGCTGTTATCTGTACTCCTCATAACCCCAATTTTTCTATCCTCCCGCTCAATTCCTCTGTAGGTCATCACCACAATGGTTTCTTAAAGATGGGTAACACTCGGGCCGGGCACGGTGGCTCCCACCTGTAATGGGAGGCAGAGGCGGCTGGATCACAAGGTCAGGAGTTCGAGACCAGCCTGCCCAGCATGGTGAAACCCGGTCTGTACTAAAAATACAAAAAATTAGCTGGGCATGGTGGTGTGAGACTGTAATCCCAGCTACTCGGGAGACTGAGGCAGGAGAATCGCTTGAACCCGGGAGGCTGAAGTTGCCGTGAGCCGAGATGGCGCCACTGCACTCCAGCCTGGGCAATAACAGTGAAACTCTGTCTCAAAAAAACAAACAAACAAAAAAACAAGATGGGTAACACTCAATCATACTAAATGCAAAGTCTAGCCTTAGTTTTTGTACTACACAATAATACCACCCAGGAATCTCTCCAGTAGTACAAAGTATTGTCCCCTCCACCAAACAATCTGTTAAGATGCCCAATAACTCAGCCTGGGTCTTCTAAATTCTGGACTCTTCATCTTCTATCTAGCTCCAGGACCTAGGCTATCCCCCTCTCCCACTCCGAGATACTGCTGCCACAAATATTTTTGACACTTGCTACCAAAATAATCTGGGGCTCTCAGACATTTGTTCAGCTTCTGACCTTGACATCTGTTGGCAGTTTACAAGTTACAAAGTACTTCTGATTTTCGCCTCAACCCACTGAGGGCGGAGAGCCAAATATTGCTATCCTGGTTTTAACAGTGAGGAATCCAGGTCTGTGACACCTTCGCCCAAGGTCACACGGCGAGTCCTCACGGTAAAGGGCTCTCCCCACCCTCAGGGTCCCCGCCAACATTCCCCTTCTCCACATCCATCCCCCTGGCCCCCGCCGGGCCCACCCACTGGGGCTCCAAATGAGCCGAGGCGACCCTCAGGCCCCGCCTGCGCTTTCCCAGAGCTGATCCTGGAGTTCTCCCGAGGGGCAGGTGTCAGGCTACTCTTCCAGGGTCACTACATACCATCCCCGCCCAGCCCCTACTGTAGCCGAGAAAAAGGGGGCTGGCCTAAGGGCCAGATACTCGGCCCCTGGTTCTGCACAGAGGAAGAGCGAGCCGGATGCTCACCACTGCGCGCCGCGTTGGAGTGTGGTCCTCATTAAGGCTCCAAGCTCCGACTTCTGAGTCTCCGCATCCGGTCGCTCACGACAGCCTCCACCTTCCGCCATCTCGTCCGCGGCCCCGGCCCAGCCGGCCCGGACATCCGCCCCGCGCGCGGCGTGCTATAGACCGCGCCCACGCACGCACGCACGCTCGCGTGCCCGCCCCTGCCCCACCTCGTGCCGCGGCCTTCGGCTCCTGCAGTCGCTGTCTTTTATCCCCTCCAGTCTCGCGCCACTTCGCTCACCGGCAAACAGTGGAGCGAAAAGGCAGATGCGAGAGGGGTGGGTGGGGAGCAGCAGCTGCTACTTCCTCCCGCCCTGCCGCCTGCTACGCGGTCGTGGGGCGCCCCTTCCTCTGCTCAGGATGGCGCTACAGGATGAAGCTCTGTTCAGCCCGCCGATCTCAGGGAGTCAGACAGCAAGCCCACGACCCATCGGGCACCCTAGCCCGGCCTTCGAGGTTATCCTGGTCCTAAATAAATGCAGGCCAGGTGCGAGAAGCCCCGTAGTTAGGTCTGTTCATTCTCACCCCTGCCATTCCGCTTTCAGCTGGAGGCCTTAGGCGAATCAGCTGCCCAAACGTGGGATCCGGGCTCCTGCTCCAGCGGCCCTACAGGGATTTCAGGAAGTACCACGTGCATCAGCGCCTTGGGACCAAGACTGAACGGTGTGCTGTAGTTATTAACAGTCGCCTTAAACAATCTGGACGCCAGAGCCACCTGGCCCACCGGAGAATTCCGTCAGCTCTTCATACTGAGCTACTTGCCAAGCAGCCACAGAGGGGCGATAGCAACAGGGGAAGGAGAGTTATTCCACATTAGTTACCCAGGCATGTACTTAGTTCCTGAAACAAGATACAACGTCCTGAACACTGTGTTTTCCAGTCGCTCCGGTCACACAAACACACAACCCTCTTCCTGGAGGGAGAAATAAACCCAGAGGAAAGAGGAAGTCAGGCCTAGATGAGTCTCCATACACTTGTCTAACAGTTCTTGTCCTCAGAAAAATAAGACCTAGTTCCTGCCCTCATAGAATCTAGTGGAAGAGTAGAGATGTTTCAGAAATAACCTCAATGCCTAGCAGTATGTGGTAAGTGCAATTAAAGGGTGTGAACCAGGCCAGGTGCGGTGGTTCAAGCCTGTCGTCCCAGCACTTTGGAAGGCTGAGGCGGGAGGATAGCTTTAGCCCAGGAGTTAGAGACCAGCCTCGGCAACATGGCGAAATCCTGTCTCTACAAAAAATAGCCGGGAGGTGGCGCGCGTCTGTGGTCCCAGGTACTCGGGAGGCTGAGGTAGGAGGATCCCTTGAGCCCAGGAGGTCGAAGTTGCAGAGAGTCGAGATGGTGCCACTTCTCTCGAGACTGGATGGCAAAGTGAGACCCTCTCTCAAAAAAACAGTAAATACAAATAAGGGGTGTGAACCGGCCAGGCGCGGTGGCTCACGCCTGTAATCCTAGCACTTTGGGAGGCCGAGGCAGGCAGATCACCTGAGGTCGGGAGTTCGAGACCAGCCTGACCAACTTGGAGACGGAAATGTCCTCTAAAAAAAAGTGCTGGGCGCCCGGCACGGCAGTTCATGCTTGTAATCCCAGGACTTTGGGAGGCCAAGGCGGGCAGATCACGAGGTTAGGAGTTCGAGACCAGCATGGCTAATATGGTGAAACCCCATCTCTACCAAAAATACAAAAAAATGTTAGCCAGGTGTGGTGGCGCATGTCTATAGTCTGAGCTACTCGGGAGGCAGAGGCAGAAGAATTGCTTGAACCCAGGAGGCGGAGGTTGCAGTGAGCCAAGATTGCACCACTGTACTCCAGCCTGGGCGACAGAGCGAGACCCCCTCTAAAAAAAAACAAAAAAAGGGTGTGAACCAAAGGCTGTAGAACACCAGGCACAACCCCTGCTCTCATAGGAAACCTTTGACTTGAGTAACATTTGAGTGTGGTATTGAAAAAAAATGCTGGCAGAATAAAGATGAGGATGCATGTAACAGGAGGGGAGACTCAAGGGACCAGAAGAGAATTTCTGGAACAGGCAGGACAGTATTAGAGAGTGGGGATTAGGCCAGTTGAGCCGGGCACTACAACACTACTACAACCTAAGGGGATCTAAAGCTAGAAAGGAGGCCAGACAGACCATATATCCTGCCTTAAAAGGCAGGCAGGCATTGTAGGAAGTTTTGGAGCAGAGACAAAATGACTGAGGGTGCTTCACGCCCACGATGGTGTAACTCAGACACAGAACCATTAGGACCCTCTCACTACGGAGGTGGCTGTGAGGGAGAAGAGGAGAAACAGATGAGCCATGTCTATTTTATTTTTTTATTCTTATTTTTCTACCCTATTCCTGTTGAAAAGATGAGCTATGTTTTGTGTCAGGGGTGAAGGAAGGGGAACTGGCCCAGTGAAAATATGGTAGGTCATTTGAACAGATTTACTATTTTTATGTTGTGTTTGGCCAACTGAAATTAATTTGCACTCCCTGGGACATCCATCACACACCATCTGATAAGAAAGGCCTCTTGGCAGTTGGGTAGATTAGTAGGGGAAAGTAAATGTGGAATTAAAACTGCCTCAAATAACCACATAGCAATTAATCCCCTGTAGATAAGAGTTACCACCACATGATGATTCTACATCTGCAGAGCCAACCCTAACAAGTCCCCTTCTATGAAAGTTCTTTGAAACTCTTCTGTTTTGTTTTGTTTCATTTTGTTGTTTTTTCTGAGACAGAGTCTCGCTCAGTCCCCCAGGCTGGAGTGCAGTGGGGGAATCCGAGCTCACTGCAACCTCTGCCTCCCTGAATCAAGCGATTCTCCTGCCTCAGCCTCCTGAGTAGTTAGAATTACAGGCGTGCACCACCACGCCTGGCTAATTTTTGTATTTTTAGTAGAGATAGGTTTCACCATCTTGGGCAGGCTGGTCTCAAACTCCTGACCTCATGATCCACCAGCCTCAGCCTCCCAAAGTGTTGGGATTAAAGGTGTGCGCCACCGTGCCCAGCTGAAACTCTTACAAATGTTATCAAAAAAGAAACACTACCTTTAGTCCTGTTATTTATGGAAAAAGAAAGTTGGGGCCGGGCACAGTGGCTCAGGCCTGTAATCCCAGCACTTTGGCTTTGGAAGGCCGAGGCAGGCGGATCACCTGAAGTCAGGAGTTCGAGACCAGCCTGGCTGATGTGGTGAAACCCTGTCATTACTAAAAATGCAAAAATTAGCTGGGCATGGTGGCGGCACCTGTAATCCCAGCTACTCAGGAGGCTGAGGTAGGAGAATCACTTGAACCCAGGAGATGGAGGTAGCAGTGAGTCAAGATCGTACTACTGCACTCCAGGCTGGGTGACAGAGTGAGACTCTGTCTCAAAAAAAAAAAAAAGTTGGTTACTGACATCGGTTCAGAATCTACATTTCAGGGTGTCTGCTTCCCTCTTCTTTTTTTAGCAGTTTCTCCTACACCATTTATGGCAGTCTTAAGGAGGACAAGTAGGACAAGTCCTCAGCACCACTAGAAAAGGGGACAAAACCAGGCCGGGCGCGGTGGCTCAAGCCTGTAATCCCAGCACTTTGGGAGGCCGAGACAGGCAGATCACGAGGTCAGGAGATCGAAACCATCCTGGCTAACATGGTGAAACCCCGTCTCTACCAAAAAATACAAGAAAACTAGCCGGGCAAGGTGGCGGGCGCCTGTAGTCCCAGCTACTCGGGAGGCTGAGGCAGGAGAATGGCGTA